GTCCAAAGCTCGAGTCAAGCTTCGAGAATAATGTGTTCATGTGTTTTTGTTGAAGAACACATGTTCACATCATTCCAGGGTTTGAATTGGAAGTCCAGTCGAATTAATCTTGAAAAACCAGTAAGTTTTCTTTCAAATGATATTAATTGATTTAGAATTTTTTGATTTTTGTTTCATTGATTTGGTTCTGTTTTAGTTCTTATTTTTTTAGGTTTACTTTGTCCTGTTTCGATTTTTCCTCTATTGATTTGACTCTATATTTGTTTCCAATAGAATAAATCCATGTTTGTCGTTGCTAATTTGATTTTAGTTTTAAGTTTGTTTGATTGTCATTAATTGTTAGTTTATTAATTGTTAGAATTATCTTTCATATTCTGATTAGTTATATTGATTGATGAGGCCAATTTTTTAGACTGTTTGGTTATAGCTGGTAGATTTTGGTCAGGATTAGTAATTTTAGGATTATTCAGGGGTATTATAGGCATGGGAAATGGTAGTTTAATCAGATTTAGTAAATATTGAAATAAGGTAAGGGTAGTTTAGGGATTTCAAGTATGGAAAAATCATAATAGAACCCCCTAGGACTTTCTAGAAGGGGTTTTGAACTGAAAATTCACAAAATAGGTGTAGTTACTTGTGTAACAAGTCAGAAAATAAGGGGTAAAAATAGAAATAAAATAGGGACTAAAGAGTAAAATGAAAACCTGAAGTTATACCCTAAGCTTGCCTATAAATAGGCATTCATTTGCCTTGCATAAGAAGTCTTAGAACCTCTAAAAAATTCCCCCCCAAAAACCTCTTCCACAGATCTGAAGCCTAAATTTAAAAAAAAATATAATAGACAAATCCAAAATTTAAAAGTTACTGTTTCATTGAAATCCCAAGTTCAAGTTTGATATTTCAGCATCTAATGGTCAATCCCTAGCTCAAATCTTAATCACTGAGGGTTTTATAATGTTTCTAGAAATATTTTGAGTTTATGTGGGTGTGTTCGAGTTGATTTTGAGGAATTTCAGTGGAAGAATTGTAGCTGTGTGATCTCTCAATGGAATTTCAAAATTGTTCCTGAATTAGCTGTTTTTTGAAATCGTTTCTGGACTGCTGGTTTCAATTGTTGTTATCTGCCCTGCTGATTCTCATTCCTTTCATTTATCCATTCTCCAGGTACTCCTTTGGTCTCATATGACCTGTGAAGAATCAATGTAGGGTTGATTTGGAAGATAAAGTAATGAAATGTTATTTGATTTGATCCCTGAAATCTCCCGTTCTATTTTAGCTTAAAAGCATAGAGCAGTTATTTTTATTTGAGTAATACACTGATTTGTAGTGATTGGACTGCATGAACTGATTTTCAGACTTGTATGAGTGTGATGTTAGCTATGTTTTAGTCAGTTCCAGTGTGTTTGTTATGTTAGTTTGAGGATTAAGTTTGGATTAAGGTGTAGATTAAAAGCAAAGTCCAAAATTAATAGTGGTCAGCATCACTTGTAGCTTGACATAACTAGTTAGTTTGATGTGTTCATTATGTATGCGCTGAAACGTGAAGTGCAGAATAATTAGATTACAACTTAATGTCAGCATTTGCCTTGTATTCCATATTAGCTTGAGGATTTGTGAATTACTGAAACTGCTGTTAAATTTTCGTGTTGAGGATGTTAGTTATCAATAGGCAAACAAGTTGAAATTGTGTGAATTGTTCTAAAACCAGCATGCCTGTGGTATGAATAAATGGTGCATTTGCTTTAGAAAATTATTTAACAGGCCCAAGAATTAACATCAGTTTGGGCTCATTCATGAGCCAAAGCAGTATTTTTTTTTTAATAAGATTTGGGCCTAATGGCATAATCAGAAGCCCAAGTAGCTTGAATTAGCCCATGTGTGCTGAGCGATGGTCTGATCTGGGATTAAATCACTAGGTCCCAATGTGTATTTTGCTTTCGATTTGGGCCTGCATAGAGGCCCACGACTGGGCAACTTCTTATAAAATCTGACCAAATTTCCTCATTTTGGGGTTGGTTTCGAGGCCCAAGGTGCTGAAAGCTCTACCCTACTGGTCATATTATTGAGCTAAGGGCTAAAAGATATTTGTTAATCTTGGGCCTCTCAAGCTAGGTAGCACATTTGAACTAAGAGGTTTTCCTCTTGTTCAGGTGTGGACTTGAGTTTGAGGGTCCAGATTCCTTAATTGATAGTTTACTGATATGTTAATTAATTAACTAGGCCCTTTAGAGACAAATTCAATAGAAAATCATAGTTGCTTTAGGTTGGCCTTTAATAAAAAATGAGACGAGCCTCGCAAAACAAAATCCATAAAATCGCGGGGCCCTCATTAAATGTTTTATTAAAATTCTTAGAATTCGGGACGTGCCATTTAGCGAATCTCATGGCCTCCCGTGAAGTTAATAATACGTTAGCTGCTTTAGGCCCGACATTTAATAATATTACCTTCTTAAATACGGGTGCACATTTATGTGACCCAAATCCAAGTCTCAACGAAGTCGAAATGTGTCAAAAACCGCGGGTGCATTTATGTGACGTGGTTCGAGACGCGTTTTCACGACGTTGCAATTCTCTTTAAAAAATAATAATAAAAGCGGTTTTAAATTCAAAAGGCACATAAGTTAGAACATGCAAAAAAATCAGATTTTAGCCATTTATAATAATTTAAGCGACCGTGCTAGAACCACGGGATCCGGGGGTGCCTAACACCAAGGGTCAACAGAATTCCTTATTCAGAATTTCTGGTTCGCAGACTCCAATTGGGAAGTCGAAATTTTCCTCGATTTGGGATTCAAATTAAACCGGTGACTTGGGACACCAAAAGCCAATCCTATCCCAAGTGGCGACTCTAAAAACAAACAAATAATCCCATTTCGAATAATGTCACTTCAAATGGAAAAACTCCCTTATACATTATCCTTCGGAATAGGTGTGTAAAAAAGGAGGTGTGACAAAACTATAATTCAATTCTGAGTAAAATTGAACATATTCCATAAAAAAATATGAGAAAATGACTTATATCATACCAAACGCACTTAAATTGTTTTCGAGGCGACAAGTTACTCTCACCTTTAATTTGCAATTCTCAACCATAAAGCTATAACTTGTATAGTAAAATTGGTTACATACTCAAACCTCTCTATAACAGCCTCATTTGTTCCGATATTTTTTGGCTGTTACATTGAAGTTCTGTTATAGAGTACATATATTATAACATAATATTAAAATCGGTTCCGAAAAAACTTGGTTTTTATAGTGAATGATTGTTATATAGGGATGCTGTTATAGAGAGGTCCGACGATATAAATATGCTGTTTAAATTTAATATCTAACAGAAATGCAGAATATTTGCTTGTCCTTTGTGGAATATATTTAATTTGTTTTAAATATGGTGTAGAAGTAGATGGGTTAGGAGTCTATCAAAAAGGCTTTCATATCAATGCAGTTGCCCCACATTAGCTCAAGCTTTAGCTATCACAAGTTATAAAAACAGAAGAACAAGTCAATTAAATGTTGCTTTGTGAATTTGGCCCATATGGATTATTGGCCACACAAGGTTCACCATATCTACAACATTTACAATCAAATCTGAGTATGAACAGATAACAAATTTTAACTCATTTGGTATCAATAGTGGTGATAATTCATATGTACATGCCCCTTGTCGGCAAATTCTTCTGCAGATCCAGATATTCACGTACTACTTGATACACACAGCACACGATTTACAACTTAGTTAGCAACATGTAAGGTGTGGTAGTCCCACCACCGAGGCGTGTGGCGAAATGGTATTGGGATCCCTCCGCACTTAACTCAGAATCTCGGTTTCGAGCCTTTGAAATGGAGAACCTTTCAATAGGGAGCATTTTATCTCCTCACTTTTCCCAGGGACAGGAACTACAGCTTGACCTTTGGGGAAGATGTCCGTGGGACCCTTCCTTCGAGGGCGCCTAGATAGTGAAAGATTATCCCTTTGCGACGCTGGAAGCTAAGCGAAGTCACGAAGCTGGCTGACTATGCTCGAGCAGAGCTCAGACCCAGAGGTGGTGGCTGAACTCGCTCCAGAGTTCAGGAGCGAGCAAGTGTGTCGACTGGTGCAAATCTGGATTAGTCGAATCAGTCTGTTTCGAATACTAAATGTTAAACCAAAATAATATTTTAAGAAAATGTAGGGCAGTCCCAACATGTTGGTGGTCATGTACTTAGATACAATTATGGCTGAGAAATTCGTTCTTACAAGGGATGCATGTAGTTTGACGTGGCTAATAGAGATAGTATGTTTTTTGGCTTAGTTTCTAGATGCAGATGGATAATCGGTGTGCTTTGGCTCTTAGCTTCACTTAGTAACAAAATTTGTCTTAAATAACTGTACCTAGAAAACCTAGTAGCCTAGTGGTAATGACACGTGTCAAGTACAAGTAGAGGTTCAGAACCTCAGATGTGTAAGTTACACTGCGCGCGAATCCTGGATAAATCGAAGCCTTAATGCGGGTATTGAGACACCGAACGGGAAACCTAAAAAAAAAAACTCAAATATATAGTATATACACACGCGAATCCTGGCTAAGTCGAAGCCTTAATGTGGGTACTGGGACACAAATTGGGTAAACCTAAAAAAGAACCTCAAATATATAGGTTACACAGCGCGCGGATCCAAATAAGTCGAAGCCTTAATGCGAGTACTGAGACACCGGATGAGTAAACCTAAAAAAGTACCTCAAATATATAGGAGGTTCATACTATTTGCATTTCCCTACTAAAGACTGGATCAAGAGACAAAGATACTACTCCACACATTCTCTTGAAGAATAACACTTTCTCAATCAAGATATCATATAAGAAATAAACACGATCCAAAGGTTCCACTTTAATTGAACACATTACAGAGTCTGTTTTTGAAGGGAAGGAAATGTTTTTCTAAGGATTCTTGAAAAGCTTCATAAATAATCCTACGTAGCTCAGCTTTTAGTGTCATTATCTAACGAGACATGGAAGAGAGATGAAATGAAGACGATTGTAAAGGAATAATCTGGTATAACTTATGGATCCATCAACATTAAAGATACGCCGTGGAGCCTCCTCCTAAGGACCTTGCTCGATCAAAACTTTCTCGTGGTGGCATAACCATGGATTTGTAGTCGTAAAATGTTGGCCTTCCTGATCTACGAATTCACGGATCAAACATATTCGGTGGCATTTCATTGCGAGGATGTTGTGGAGTTAAGAGTCCAATATTGTTTGACAGCAACCAATATTTTCTCAGGAACAAGGGGACCGTCCTCATGATCCATCAATTTGAAGTTCCACCTCATGCCTCCTATTATCTTCTTCACCTTGATCAGTACATCTACGTCATCTCTAAGAATGACAGCTCCTTCTGGACGCAAAATACGGTCCATCTCTAAGAGAATGTCTTCAAATTCACACCTGTAAAATTAGAAAACAGACACATAAGAATGTTAAAATGCTAACTTAGTCCGAAATTAGTATTAATGTTTTTCTGTATCTCCATTTCATCTGAAATTTTTTCTTTCTTTGGCTGGGGGTCACTAGTTGGGAGAGACGTGAGAGACCAGAGCGACAAGTTGGCATTACTAATTCAATAAGAAGGACACCACAATTACGCACGCAAACTTGTGCTGGTACGTCAAATATCAGTTATTCTACCATACTTGATCTTGAGAAGGTTACTACCCTAAAAATTTAAGTAATTAAAACTATCAGTCTATATTTACTTAAGCTACCTTTCCTTTTATCGTATCCCAATCAATTAGACCCTTTTACTTAAATGGCAAAGTTCCCTTGGACAAAGTATTTGAACCAATTTGAGGTAAACTAATTTCTATTGTTCTAAAATTCATTTGGCGTCAGATTAACCAACCTTCACGGATGCAACTTTGTCTACACGCCTACCTCTAATGTGATGACCAAAAAGACTCCTACAATTTTATCTCTGCTTGGTCAGGCGTAAAAAGGAATTTGTGCGTAGAAGCAATTAAGTCACCGTTACTTAGTAGCCAACTAGGCATGGCCAACAATAAGACCTTCATAACGAGCTGCAATACTCACAGTGCTACTAGGCTCTTTATCTCAATGAAGAACATGCTAAGAAGTAAATTAGCAATAAAAATAAAATAATTAAGATAAAAACTTACTTATCCTTGTATAAACTGAAAAGGCCACTAGCATGAATGAGATCATACGTCCTTGGGTATGTAGAAAATGCTTCACACCTGAATCAAAAGATTACTGTATGATCAGATGATAGCTTTCTCTTCGACAAGCGGAAGAGAAATAATAAAATAGAATAAAATAAAATATAACACTTGTATCTCTTTGTAAAAAACAAAGATAAATCGGATACAGGCTTAAACAGCATACTGTATTTTCTTGACATCCCTTTTGCTATTTCAATAAAGCGGGAATCATTTCTGATAGAAACAAATGAAGAAACTATTTTTTTGTATATATGTGCCTTAAGTGCATTTGTGAAATATTTTCACAGAATCTTAAGAGATGATTACATCAAACATGAAATGTGATCTGAAGTTTAAGGCCTCTCTTTTTGTGACATATTCAACCCAGAAGAATATGATTTTATTATCCTCTTATGGTCTAGACCTTAACATTTTCTCTACCTAAGCTAGAAGTAGCAATGCAAATAATGAAAGCACAAAGGAATATTAATATCAGGTTATATATCAAGTGCTTCCTTTCATATGACAATTCTTTTCAAAAGATAGGGTTGTTCCAATAGTTGTACGTACCAATCATGATAAATGCCAATTAGTCCCCGTTCATATATAACTCCCAAAGTATTCTTCTCAGCTATTGTTGGCATAACATTCATAACCCAAAATTTAGGAGAGTGAAGCGCTGCTGCAAAACCTCCTAGTCCAGCGTTCATGTCCATAATGTTGCGGTACCTTCCGGTGTCCAGGAGCTTGTTGATCTTTTTATAAGCACTTACGTGTTTCTTCCATTTCTTGTTGTCCTCCTGATATTTCTCAACAGACACTCCTGAAACTTGTCCGTTGGCAATTCTCGGGGGAACAGCATAAAGTCTCTCAGGGAATGGCTTTAGACTTTCATCCTCACCGTTACCATTGTTTGGTGTTATGCATGTTTCCATTTTGTTGTACCTGAAACCAAAAGGCAAAAATAACGGATCAGCCATGATCTTGATTTTCAATACTGAATCTATATGAACACAACAACCAAGTCCAATGAATTGGCTGCGTCGGACAAAACACGGTAATCATGCATTTAAAAATACAAATGATTTTCGGGTTGTATATATCAAATTATCAATCCTACTGTTATACCACATTCAGCACAAAAAAGGCAGCTATGATAAAATGTGAATTACATTAAGTTCTCTGGAAATCCCAAAACCAATAGCTGCAAAATTAAACCAGTTAAAATACTCAATTCTATCAGAAAACCAGTACGGACAAAGATAAAGCAAGGCTTATCTTGTATCCGATCATTAAAGTAGATCACTGTTGTTCATCATGCAATTTGCTATAAATTATTGTATTCCAGCAGTGGTACATACATTGTGTTCAACAAGAATTAAGCACCAATTGAACAATTTCAGCTGCCATAAGAAGCAGAAGAATCATCAAATAATGAGATGGCCAGAACTGCTAATAAGCGAATAGGAGGACAGATTAAAGTGCAGAATTGCTTGTAAGTACACCAGAGAAACACCAATGATGGTCAAACAAGGGTGTAACTAAATATGAAGGAAAAATGTTACTTTTAAAATACTGCTTAAATCATTAAAGAAAATTTTGAACTGATAGTAATGTGTCTAATGCATTAAAGAAGGGGCCCAGGCTTGGAGAGTTGTGATAAGTTATAGCATGCACACTAAGCCACTGCACATCAGCGTTCGCGTAGTAAGTTAGCAATGTAATATTCACGTTATCAGATTAAGGCAAATGAATTTCCTGCATACTTGGCAAATCTTCTGCCACCTAAACAACTTAAATCCGCATACTGAACCGTCTTGGCATGCTATTAATTCATAAGAAATAAGTTTCTCAAGCTCAAGTAATTTTAACTGATGAAATGTTCTAATTTCTTTCTACGGCACCACAAGAGGAAAACTTTTTCACAGTAGAATAGAGCTGCCACTCATGGGAAGCATGAAGCACATTCCAACACATTTTACTATAATGGCCAAGTTTTCTTTGGAGCCGATCTTTCGTGTTATAGTATATTATATCTTCTCTATAACAGTATCTCGTCATAGCAGCGAAAAGATTTCCAGACAAATGCTGCCATTATAGAGAGGTTTGAGTATTCAGTACGATGACATACCAGACGTTATATTATAGAGAGGTTTGAGTATTCAGTACGATGACATACCAGACGTTATCTGGATCATCAGCTTTACAAATTCTGGCTGCCGAATTTTCTTCTGCAGAACGGCATGAGTCAGCATCCATTCTTTTCCGCCAAATAGCAGTCTCACCCTTCTCAGATATCTTCTCCCAGCAAAGAAGTTTAGCGGCCTCTTCAATCTTCCTTTGTTCTTCTTGAAGTTCCTCCTTGGGTCGTTGCCAGGCCTTATAATTGGTTTTCCAGTTGATAGGAGGTCCAGAAAGTACCCAGTAGCCTCCAGGCCTAAGAACTCGATCAACTTCCATCATGAGGACTCCATCTACACGATGAAAGAACAAAACATGCAATTAAAAACCATTATCAGAAAGTAATAATTTGGTAAAGGCTAATCACATTTTTGGGCCGCCCTAAAAGATAATAACCAGCAAATATACAACAACAACTACCCAGTATAGTCCCACAAGGTGGGGTCTGGGGAGGGTAATACGTACACAGGCCTTACCCCTACCCGAAAGGGCAGAGAGGCTGTTTCCAATCGACCCTCGGCTCAGGATAATAACCAGCAAATATATGTTTTGTATATTAAGTATAAGTATACAAATAAGATATATATAATATATACATACAGTATATTATACACAAACCAGTGTATATGTTTCGTAAATTTGGGCTAGCGCCCATAAGTAATTTCGGCGAACGGACCAAAAATGAAAAAAGCCCTTCAATAAAACGTAAATACAAACAAGTAAAATGTCTTCCTTATTTAAAATTTAACCATGTTTTCTGGATATCAAGACGAGATGCATACCAGCAGCTCCCCAAGGGATAAGACAACGAGAACAATGGGCCATATCAAAGGCTTTAGATGGATATGGCATTTTGATTGTTCCTAGTACACCAATAACAGCAGGCACACCCCTTTCCAGAGCAAACTGAACCTGAGCTTCGTGCGAGTCTCTTGGGGCAAATGACATTGCTATGACATTCCTTTTCCAAAGATAAGCGCCCCAACTTGCGACCTGTCACGATTAGAGAAATTCTTAGCCGAAAACAGCAACAGAGTAACAAAATACTTTTTATGTAGGCAAGACAAAGGGACATATCTTAAGCGAAAAGTTAAGTTTATAAAGCAGGAAAACATACCCCACAACCAGTGTCCAAAGCAGTCCGAACTGTCCCATTTTCGATCGGGACTACTGAAGCGAGCTGATCGATATACTTATCTGCTCCTTGAGGAAACTGTGTCCCTCCTCCCGGGAACCTAAACACGTTACCCTCATACTGAACCCAGTTCTGAATAGCTTTCTCAACTGTCAAGCTCTTATATGGAGCATTGGCATAAGGAACATAATCCCGACTTTTTGGCCATGGAAATGGGGTAACATATCCCTTAGGTGCTGGAATAAGGCAATGTAACTTCTCCTCTTGAGGTGGACAATGCCTTTCTCGGTAGTTCATATTTTCCCTTGGGAAGGTCATCGCACGCTTTTGATCTTGGCATGGTGTGTAATCAGTGTACTGAGGATCACATGGTTTGAGTTCTTCGACTTCGGATTCTGACTCATCAGTACCGCCTGCCTCGCCAGCATGACGAGACTCAAAATTGAGATTTGGTAGTATATCGCAATTCTCACCAGCAGTCTTGGTAACTGCCAGAGCTATACTATCTCCTTTCCCGAAACCGCTTCTTTGCCATGCTCCAAGTAAATAGAAAAAGCAACATAGACCAGCTACTATAAATATTGATACAGAAGTTCTAGTCCTATTATCCCCTGCGTTTTTGTTCGCCATTGCAGCCCTGAAATAATTTCAATAACCTAGTTAGGAGTGAAAAGGAAATCCAATGCACATTTTCCTGCAAGTTCGTAAAAGATGCAAGCCAATCAAGACATCACAAATTGCACAAACATGGTCTTCCATTATTTAGAAGGAAACAAAAAACGTCAGAGTATGATAATTGGTTATTGAGTTCTCAAGATCATATAGTATTTTTTATACATAAACCTACAAAGTTCCTCAGGTTCTACCTCCATGCCAATCATTTCAAGCCAAATGCTATCTAAGTTCCTAAAGTTAGTTGAAATCAACGGAATATTAAAGATCAGATGAAGCTCATGTTCTCCCAAGTAGGATAAGATGGAAACTCGAATAGCTGCAGATCTAAGGTAGTGGGAAACTAGCATAACTTCTCAACGTTCAAAGTCGGACACCCGACAAAACTTGGATCTTCTATTTATGACAATGGTGTATGCGTCAACTTGGGTTCACCTTGACTAACATGAGACCTCATGGTTCTCCTCCCAATTCATTAACCACTATGCTACACCTTTGGGTGTAACAAAAGTTGGATCTTTTAAACACATAAGAATACAAGGATCAAAGTCAGATCTTTTACAGGTTTGAGAATTCTGGCCTACATAACACTAACAGTCTAATCATTAAACCGAACTCTCAATAACAAATCTTTGATCCAACATAGTGAAACAAAAACAACAATGCACTTCCAAAGAAGAAACTTGAAGCCAAGATTTACATGACACAATAAAAGCTCAAAGCACAAGTTTATTTAGAACTTAGCAAATCTAAACCAATGATCAATATTACCTAAAAAGACACCAGATTTAAAACATATATGAGTTCAAAACGTTTTTCAAACAAACCTCACTTGTCAAATATATCAAGTAAACCAACAAAACCAGAAAGCCAATCTAAATCACAAAGTTCCATTGATTGATTAATAGATCACAGCTAAATAGAGGATTAAAGAACATACCAATGGCATCAAAAAGATTCCAACAATTCCTTAATGATCTTCCAACTTTCCCCTTTTTTTTTTTCCTTTTGCAGACAAATGTAATCAAAAATCAACCAAAAAAAAGAATTTAGCAAAATACCCACTTCAGAAAAAAACCCAACTTTGATTCAAAGAAAATGCTTTCTTGATAATCTCTCTAGCATATATAGATCAAGCACTCGTACAAGCACGTCTCCTTCTCTCTCTCTCTTTCACACACACACACACAAACAGAGACAGAGAAATAGAAGAAAGTGAAAAACTGGGGTTCTTTAATTATGCTGCTGTTTTATTTTATGCTAATAATAAATCATGTCCCGCGTTTGCACCAATGGATCTCAGATCTGCAATAGGTCCCACGCGCGAATTGATTGGAAAAATTGAATGTGTGGGACCTACCGGACATGTTAAGATCTAGGAAGGACTAGCAGTCGGTGCCCATGAATCCACTGTGGTCGGATTGTTACTAAGTTTAAGGTGAAACTATTGGTAGAATTCAGAGTATGATGGGTAAAATTAGTATGATTCGAATATACATTTACAAATTAAAGTTATATAAATATTATAAATTACAATAGTATATAAATTTAAAATATTTGAAAATATATGGTAAAAGAAAGCCTTTTTGACAGCGAAAATAGTAATTGTATACTGTGTGTTTTTTGGTTCCATTTATGTGATATTATTGTTTTAGCTTGCTACCAAAAAAAAACACCTTTCGTTTCATTTGCTCCATATTTTAATAACCATAACATTGTTATTACATGTAAAAGATAACAAATTTTTATCCTATCATATGCTCTATAATCAATCAAATAAGTTCACATAATACGTTTCACATAATACGAAACGTAGGAACAATAGTTTTTGACGCCAATGTGGGATAAATATGGTGAAGGGATAGGTGGTTTTTTTATTAAAATAGTCGAGGGTCTATTCCGGACAGCCTCTCTATCTTCACAAGGTAGGGGTAAGGTCTAGATATACACTAGCCTCTCCAGATTCACTCGTGGTATTACACCGGGTTCGTTGTTATCGTAGTTGTCACGACCCGGAATTCCCACCCTCGGGATCGTGATGGTGCCTAACATTTCACTTGCTAGGCAAGCCAACGTTAGAACAATTTATCCATTTTTAATATTTTGAATTAAATACTAAGAAATAACTTAAATAACTGAAATAATCTAAAGTATAAATGCGGAAGTTAAAACTGCCAAACGTTTATTACAAATCCCTGAACCTGGTGTCACAAGTGTACGAGCTACTAGAATAATATGTACAAGGGTTTGAAACAAATACAAAGTTGTCTGAATGAAAATACACATCTAAATAAGGAAGAGAAGGGGGCTCCAAGAGCTGCGGGCGCGGAACAGTTGTACCTCAAGTCGTGCGTTTTCCGATCCGAGCTCACTGATAGCCGCCACTGGGACCGACTCCAAAATCTGCACAAGAAGTGCAAAGTGTAGTATGAGTACAACCGACCCCATGTACTCTGTAAGTGCCGAACTTAACTTCGACGAAGTAGTGACGAGGCTAAGGCGGGTCACCTACACTACAACATGTACGCAATATATAACAATGACAGAAAAATAGAAATACTAAACAGGATGGAGCAGTCAACTGAAAACAATAACTACATCCTCAAGAAATAAATCAGTTTCGTCCAGAATTACCAATCCTTAGCATTTTAGATGAGAATACCGAAAACCAAACACAACTCAAAAATGAAAACACATAGATCGTTGCGGCGCGCAACCCGATCCCACCGAACAACACAGAATCCTCCCTTATTTCACCGTAATAACATCAACAACATAAATAATATATAAATGTTGCGGCGCGCAACGCGATCCCACCATATATCAATATCAGTATCATGATTCACCCTTATTTCACCATAGTATCCACACTTATTCCATTTGTTGCGACATGCAACCTGATCCCACCGTACAGTACAAATTCATCCTTATTCCGCCATATCAATCCATCCTTATTTCATCTATTGCGGCGTGCAACCCATTCCCACCATATCAGTACCAAATACTCAACGTGCATAGTCAAATTAACAATTCAAACCACGAAAAACTTTACGATCAACAAATACCAAACTGAACCAAAGAGGGAAACTTTGTACAACACAAGAATCTACATAAGTAATACTACACAGAGAGACCAATCCAGTAATTGACAATTAGAAGGTGCAAGTAAGTCAATATAAGCAAATAGCAGGGAATCATGAAACTATGAAAAGAGCTAATATCATTAACAGGAGAAGACATTGATTAACAGGTAGCAGTTAAGCATGGAAAGCATTTAGAGCATATAACAGTTAAGAAGGAAAGTAAATAATTAGGGAAAAGCGGAAAATCAGGGAAAACAGATAATTCAGCGGCATATAAGCACTCGCCACCTCGCATATACACCGTTCACATGAAATTCACATAGCACATAGTTCGAGGGTTCCTAATTCCCTCAGTCAAGGTTAGACACAATACTTACCTCACTCTGCAGTCAATTCAAAACTTTACCGGGGACTTTCCCTTTTTTCTTTAGAATCCGTCTCCAAATCACTCGTATCTAGCCACAATTAACTCAATAATATCAAATATTGCTAAAGAAATCAATTACAATGCATAAATTTGGATTTTCCAAACTTTCCCCAAAAAGTCAAAAATTTACCCCCGGCCCGCTTGGTCAAAATTAGAGGTTCGGACCTAAATCCATTTACCCATTCACCACCGAGCCCGATTATAATTAGTTTCGGAATCCGGCCCCAATTTGAGGTCTAAATTCCCAATTTGCAGAAACCCCTCAATTCTTCCTAAATTCCTGGTTTTTCTACTATGGAAGAACAAAGATTAGGGCTAGGAATTCAAGAATGATGTAAGAAATGAAAGAAATTGAGTTAAAGAGCACAAACCTATGAATTGGTATTGAGTTTTCTCTTCGAAATCGTACCTAGGCCGAGCTCTAATGGAAGGATTATGAAAAATGTGAGAAATCCCGTTTTTGAAATGTTTAAAGTTCTAGGCGCCAGGCCTTCTTCGCGTTCGCGAAGGGCCTGACGTGTTCGTGATGTGCAGCAGCCCAAGTGGCTTACGCGTTCGCGAAGGATGCTCCTCTCTGGCCTTCGCGTTCGCGAGCCAGGGCTCGCGTTCGCGATGAAGAAATGACTGACCCCTCCCCCAGGTCCCCTAAAGCTACGCGTTCGCGAGGTGCTGGTCGCGTTCGCAAGGTGCTGGTCGCGTTCGCGAAGGGTAAGGCCCCCATCGCTCCGCGGTCGCGAAGAAGAAATTCTTCCCCAGCCCAGCTCACTCTTCGCGTTCGCGAGATTACTTTCGCGAACGCGAAGAAGAACACATCGGATAACAACTGAAGCAGAAAAAATCAGATTTCTAAATTCAATTCGATTCCGGACATACGCCCAAGTCCAATATTTCGATACTGACCCACCGGGACCGTCAAAACTCGGATCCAGGTCCGTTTTCCCAAAACGTTGACCGAAGTCAACTCAAATGAATTTTTAAGGCAAAATTCTTATTTCTATCAGTTTTTAACATATAAGCCTTTCGGATAAACACCCGGACCGCGCACGCAAATTTAGAAAGACTAAAATGAGATATCTAAGGCTTCAAAACACAAAATTTGATTCTAAAACATGAGATGACCTATCGGGTCATCAAGCAGCAAGCAAAAATGAACGGCTGGAGATCACGAGTCAATGAGATAGTGATAAGGCTGTGCATAATTTGGTAAATACCGAATTACCGTACCGAAACCGAAAATTTTGGTATTTGGTATACGGTACTTTGGTATATGGTATGGTATTTGGTTTAAGTTTTTCAAAAAAATGGTATTATGCATGGTATTTGGTTTTTTAAAATAAAAAACTGAAATACCGATACCGTACCGAAATATATATTATATTACACAAAACATATATTATCAATTATAATATAAATATAAAAAATCTAAATTTTACTTTCTTTTATTCTCTAAGTTCAGCAATTAACTCTAAACAAGTAACAAGACATTTCTAATGATCAAATATTCTTTTATGTACACTTTTCTCTATTTAGATCGATATTTGTTAGTTTTGGACAAATTTTTTGTCAACAAACATTTTCAGTTTTGTATTTTTGAGTACTTTAATTAAGAATATTATAGTCTATGGCTCTATGCACTAGTTAGGTATTCAAACCGAATAAACCGAAATTACCGAACCGAATAAACCGAAACCCTAAGGAGAAAAACCGAACCATACCGAATTTAATTAGGTACGGTATTGGTAAGGATTTTAAGAAACCGAATACCGAAAATACCGAATCGAAATGTCTAAATAACGTACCGTACCGACCGACGAACACCCCTAGATAGTGATGATTCAGGTGCGTTTTGATGGTAGCTGGGTAGGGGTCCTTATGATGTTTGATCTATTTTGGAAGATGGTCCACCGACATGGTGTGGACCACGACATAGGTTAATTTCCCCTCTTTCGTGGGAGCTTTTTGACGGTGGTTTTACACAAAAAAAAAAAAAAAAACTCAAAAAAAAATCAAAAAAAAAAAAAAAATCTTAATGTTTTTCAATTGCCGAGGTAATAATTAGGTGAAATTATGAACATTAGTAGAAGTCTGGATTTTAGAACTTTGGAGATCCCTAATTTGCGTATTGTTTCAGGAAAGACATGGGAAGTTTTCATAAATACTGTCACGTTATGTAAACTCAATCATTATGCAAGAAATCATAGAAATTACGTAAAAACTACGTAATTACTAGGTAGAAATCATAATTGTAAAGGTCTCGTGGCGTTTGTTTGAAGTTTTTGAATTTTAATATCTTATTTGAACTAATCCTGAAAAAAGAAGTTAATTTTTAAAATCCAATTTCTCATTCGGAAAAAAATTTAAATTTGTAATTTTTATTCATTGCAACAAAAAAAATCAAATTTTCAAATTTTATTAAAATTGAGTTTCAGTTTTTGAACTTGAAAATTGTGACAAACTCAGTTTGAAATTCTTCACAAGTAGTAACTATTTTTCAAGATTCAACTTACACAAAGGCGAATTACAGTTTTACGTATGGATTTGCATAAATTTAATAGCTTTTGCCCAAACTCTATATATTTATTAAGAAATTTATAAAATATCTACAAATATTTGATTATTATTGTATATTAACTTGAGATCGTTGTAGACGCTTATGAATTTTAGATTGTTAATTCGCCTTAGAGATAGCTCAAAGCACTTGTTTGGATGATTGTTATGTATTGTTGTATAATGTATTGTATAATATTGTATTGTATTGTATTATTTT